AATTGGAGAAATTTTAAATGGCAGAAATATATTAGTATTAATCTTCTTAGGTGTAATATATTATTGTGGAAACACATAAAGGAGAGTGCCCTTAGTCTTTGGAGCATGCTGAAGTATTTAACAATGAAATATCACCATGTCTATAAGTTAATTTCAAATTGTTTCCTATCCAAAAAAAGGTATCCATAGAGAAAACAAATCCAGTCAACTCCCTGTATCCAAAGGTTCTACATCATCAGATTCAACTAACCTCAGATAAAAATAGTTGAAAAATTAAAAAATAATATGGCAGGGCGCAGTGGCTCATGCCTATAATCCCACCACTTTGGGAGGCCAAGGCGGATGGATCACTTGAGGTCAGGCATTTGAGGCCAGCATGGCCAATATGGCGAAACCTCATATCTACTAAAAATACAAAAATTGGCCAGGCATGATGGTGGGCACCTGTAACCCCAGCTATTCAGGAGGCTGAGACACAAGAATCGCTTGAAACCGGGAGACGGAGGTGGCAGTGAGCCAAGATTGCCACTGCACTCCAGCCTGGACAGCAGAGTGAGGCTCAGTCTCAAAAACAAAAATAAAAAAATTTGCAAATACCATGCCTTTTTTTTTTTCATTCTAAAAATGCAGAAATTAGCCGGGCGTGGTGGCACACGCCTGTAGTCCCAGCTACTCGGGAGGCTGAGGCGGGAGAATCGATTCAACCTGAGAGACACAGGTTGCAGTGAGCTGAGATTACATCACCCTACTCCAGCCTGGGCGACAGACCAAGACTCCATCTCAAAACAAAACAAAAAAACAAATAGAATGTGATGTGATGGACCCTTTTACATAAAAGAGGAACAGGTCAAGAAGCAGGGAAATGTTCTAGAAAACAAAGCCGCATTTACCTAGACATGCTTATTGTCAGAGGTATTATTGCCAAACACAGCCCGATCAACAACACCAACAGGAAGAAGAAATTAGAATTGGATGCTCTGAACTGCCTCGGGGAGGGTCTGCAGGTGTAAAGCAGACTCCACTACAAGGAGAAAAAGAAAGAAAAATTAAGATCAATGAATATAGCTTCTGTGAGGATCAATACGCATATTTCTGCTTTACAGTGGGAATGCAAATCACTCTAACCTTTCCAGAGGGTTGTCCAGCAATATGGATCAAGATGAAAACGGTTTAATTCAGACTCTAAACTCTGGAGGGTTCATGTTGATGAAACAGAGGGGAAATGGGCCAAAATACAGATATGTGGATGTTTAATGCTACAGACATTGATAACACAGAATAATTGCAAGCAACCTAAATAGCTATAAATGGGGGTTAGTGGCTGAGTGCAATGTCTCACATCTGTAATCCCAGCACTTTGGGAGGTCACAGCAGGAGGATCACTTGAGGTCAGCAGTTTGAGGCTGCAGTGAGCTATGATTGTGCCACTGCACTCCAGCCTAGGCAAAAGAGAGAGACTCTCTCTCAAAAAGAAAAATGGAGGTGGGGAACAACAGTTTATTAGGTTATAGTTAAAGGTTAAAGTACATCTATATAGAATGAAATACCATACAATCCTAAAGAAGGATGAGGCTGGGCGCAGTGGTTCACACCTGTAATCTCAACACTTCGGGAGGCTGAGGTGGGCGGATCACAAGGTCAGGAGTTCCAGACCAGCCTGGCCGATATGGTGAAACCCCATCTCTACTAAAAATACAAAAAATTAGCCAGGAGTGGTGGCAGGCGCCTGTAGTCCCAGCTACTCAGGAGGCTGAGGTGGGAGGATGGATTGAGCCCAGGAGGTTGAGGCTGTAGTGAGTCATAACTGTGCCACTGTGCCACTGCCCTCCAGTCTGAATGACAGAGTGAGACCCAGTCTCAAATAAGAAAAAATAAGGATGAGAGACAGCTTTACATCCCATGTGGCATTGTGAAAATGGTAGATTTCAAAATTCCATATGAGTTCAAGTATTTATTCTTTAGAGGGATTTAAATATATATAACTGAATCTACAATAACATACACCAAATTAAGAAGTCCTTTACCTGAAGTTTTCCATAAGCACATATACTTTTTCCTATATGTTAAAAGTAAGTATTGCCATGGAGGGAAAAAAAGACTTGAAGGGAATATCAAATGGGAAGTGAGAAGGGATATAATGGTAACAGGCATGACATTTCTCAACAGTTTAAAAAGTTGTGTGACTCCACAGGAACATAAGCTCTTCTGAATTCAGGAGGAGCTGGAACATCTTGTGAGCTGGAGGACACTGCGTACCAGCGGCACCCTGGTGTGAGTGACGGAAGTGAGCCCTGGTGTCCCCCATGACCCAGCCTCCATCACCCCACCGTGTCTTTCCTGTGCTACACACTGGGAAACCACGGGCTAATCAGTATTTTCTGGAAACGGAAAAAAGTCCCTGTGAGCTTTCTCACATCCTTCTCTCCTTTGATGATTTCAGCCAACTTGTGTTTCCAAGTGAATGCATCAGAACACTCTTCAAAAGTCAAAGCACCCAGGTAGAAAGGTTGGCCCAATCCAAGGCCTTCCTTACTGGGTTAAGAGCTTAGACTCTAGAGTGAACTAAACTTGGGTTTCAATCTAAGGGGTCACTTAAAAGCTGTGTGACCTTGGACCAGTTTCTCTAAACTTCAGCTTCCTAATTTACAAAATACAGTACTTTTGGCCAGGTGCAGTGGCTCACACCTGTAATCCCAGCACTCTGGTAGGTCGAGGTGGGTGGATCACTTGAAGCCAGGAGCTCAAGACCAGCCTGGCCAACATGGTGAAAACCTGTCTCTACTAAAAATACAAAACTTAGCAGGGCACAGTGGTGTATGCCTATAATCCCAGCTACTCAAGAGGCTGAGGCACAAGAATTGCTTGAACCCGGCAGGGAGAGGCTGCAATGAGCTGAGATCATGCCATGGCACTCAAACCAGGAGTGAGAAGGGTCAAAATTTTTTAAAATAAAATAAAATATAGTACTACATCAAAGGGTGGGTGAAATCACTGCATGAAAATTTGTGTAAAGTAATGGCAGAGAGGGGACACATGGCATTATTATTTGCTATTATTACTAACACTATTAACAGTAGCATTATGATTTTCAATTTGGAATCCTCAGGGCCTGGCATAATAGGTAATCAATAAATGTTGGGCTTGTTAACAGAGGGTACCTCTGGAAGAAGGGACAGAAGTTACTGTATACATATCTGCATTATTTAAACGTTTAATATTGTACTGCCTCTATAATAAAGAAAAAAGGGCCAGGCACAGTGGCTTACGCCTGTAATCCCTTTGTTACCACTTTGGGAGGTGGAGGTGGGTGGATCACCTGAGGTCAGGAGTTCAAGACCAGCCTGGTCAACCCAGTGAAACCCCATCTCTACTAAAAATACAAAAATTAGCTGGGTTTGGTGGTAGGCGCCTGTAATCCCAGCTACTTGGGAGGCTGAGGCAGGAGAATAGCTTGAACCCAGGAGACGAAGGTTGCAGTGGTCCAAGATAGTACCATTGCACTCCCGCCTGGGCGACAGAGTGAAACTCCATCTCAAAAAGGAAAAAAACAAATAAAAAAGAGGTTAATAAGCCCACATGAGCCAGTCTTCTGCAAGGCCACTTTACTCATGAAGCACTTAGGTCTGGCACAATGAACTGTGAAACGCCCAAGATCTTCCACAAATCACTGAGACCTGAAAATAAATACACTGGTCCAGGTGGGGTGGCTCACACCTGCAATTCCAGCACTGTGGAGGGCTGAAGTGGGAGGATTACTTGAGCCCAGCAGTTGAAGACCAGCCTGGGCAACATGGCGAGACCCCCCTATATCCAATTTTTAAAAAATTTTTTTTTCAAAAGAAAAAACAAAATTAAAAAAACACATTGGCTCCAAAATACAAAGAGAAAATTACAAAATAGAAATTCATAAATGTTTATTTTACTTTTATTTATGTATTTATTTATTTTGAGACAAAGTCTCACTCTGTCACCCAGGCTGGAGTGCAATGGTATGATTTTGGCTCACTGCAACCTCCGCCTCCTGGGTTCAGGCAATTCTCCTGCCTCAGCCTCCTGAGTAGCTGGGATTACAGGCACCCACCACCACACCCAGCTAATTTTTGTACTTTTAGTAGAGATGAGGTTTCTCCATGTTGGCCAGGGAGGTCTTTAACTTCTGACCCCAGGTGATCCACCCACCTCAGTCTCCCAAAGTGCTGGGATTACAGGCGGGAGCCACCACATCAGACCTTAACAAAACAATTCTTAACAAAACTCTCAAAATTATAAAAGCACAAAAATCCATTCAGAGTCTTTCTCTAGAATAAACATGTATTTTAAATAAAGGATGTAATTTTGATACGTCTCATGGGACATGAGGTGAGCTCCAGACATATTTGTGCCCTGGAAAGTTGAAAATGGCCCAGCATATGAGCCCCCCATTCCCACCGGCTCCTTACCTCTTTCACATAGAAGATGATAATGAATTTCAAGGTTGCAATTGCAGGGAGAAGGGGTGAGAAAAAGGCTCCAATCCAGCAGATGGTTTGCCCATAAACTATCCCCAGGACGTTATCAGGAATGGCAAACTCCTGCTGCCCCCAGCACTGAATCAGCTTCCAAGAGGAACAGTAGGTCACCAGGAGCCTGGAAACAGACAGTCCTCACCTGGGCTACTGGTGTCTCCCAAGGCCACAGAACCACATCACAAAGATCAGGGCTATTTCCACGCATATTTCTCATGGACACTGGCTAGTCATATGTCTTAAAGATGCAGAATAAGCTGGGCTCGGTGGCTCACGCGTGTAATCCCAGCACTTTGGGAGGTCGAGGCAGATGGATCACAAGGTCAGGAGTTTGAGACGAGCCTGGACAACATGGTGAAACCCCGTCTCTACTAAAAATATAGAAATTAGCCGGGCGTGGTGGAAGGCACCTGTAATCCCAGCTACTTGGGAGGCTGAGGCAGGAGAAACACTTGAACCTGGGAGGTGGAGGTTCCAGTGAGC